ACTACCACTTTTGTAGTAGAAGGTCGAAGGCCGCTGGATCTTACTCTCCAAGAGTTACCACCTTAGGGCCAGTGTTGAATCAGGATCTTGAACATGCTTTCATTCCGTGAGCTGTCTATAAAATGGAAAAATATATTTAAAACACCGCCTTTATATGTTATTTGATGAATTGTTTTGCAGGCGGTCTACTTACTGAAGTCTTTTAAGGAATTACAGCTTGTTCTCCGACATAGCAAGGTGCGTAATTCGCGCGGATAAACTAGGAATTTAAGCCAAGGATAGCCAAATCTGGAGACATGCGTGCCTATAGTTTTTCAAGCCGCCATCGAGGTGTAAAAATTTGCATTGGCAAACGTTGCGTTTACAAGGGGTCAGTAGGTTACTTATTGTCCTCCTGTAATTAGAGTTGGGAACTGGGCACATTAAAACGTCGCGACATGAATGGTTTAGTGAAGGTTAAGGTTTCACGATCCACGAGTTAGAGGTGCTTCTCCTTCTCGTTAGATGCCAGTCCTTTGAGCTAACTTTTCTCCGTCATGTTGTCAGATGTCTCTGTCGGTTTATCAGCACCCATTTCTGCTCTGGGGTGACAAAGTAGGGAGCTTCCTACCACTTCCTTCTCATAGTGCCTCTGTGAGGTATAATGTGAGTAAAGGGTACTGCCCGAGAACACCATACAACTACCCCGGCCTAAAATTACACCTTAACGTTAGATCCAGAGTACTGCGGCTGAGTCACTAGGCCAGAGAACTTTCCTTGCCTGATAGCTCCGCTTTGCTCAAACAGGAGGCCGAAAAGTTTATAATGGATGAAATTGCCAAACAGCAGCAAGACACTCTTCCAGAATTTGCCATCAAAACGCAGATCCTTACTCGAAAGGCAGAGGAAAAAGAGAGACTGGAGAAAGCTAAAGAACAAATGCACTTTAATCAACTACTGCGTGCAAAGGAAATAGATGAAGAGGGAAAAGAAAAAGGCAATAACTCTTTGGAGGAAAAACAGGGTATGCCATCCATTGAAGTTTAGATCACTTTGAATGTTCTTTATCCCCTCAGTGAAGAAGGGGAAGAGGGTAGGGGCTCGTTTTTGGCCTAAATAATGACATTGGTATTGATTTTAAGATAGTCTTCTTCGCTACAGAATTCGTTTGCGAAGTCGCTTTTATGGAACGTGACTGAGGTTCCCTACACACGGACGATTTGGAAAACACACTACCCTTCAAGAGGCTACCTATAAATAGCTATAGTGAAATTGACATTTCTCGAAGCTTAGATCAGGTGTGCTCCATCATTTCCTCTCACTACAGTCAAACTGTCGTCATTCACCTATTCTCGTATGGAACAACAAAATCTTCTTTCGCACTTGCGTTCAACAATATATGTCCGAACCTTTAAGCTACCACCATTAAGAGGTTTGTCCTATTCAATGTCAAGGTTTTAAAAGTCTTTTCTATAAATTTGACCTCTACTGGATCAATGTTCCTATTCGCTTCCTAGATAACGAAACAGATAAATCGAAGCAGGGAAGCCCCAGCCCTTCTCAACCTTCCCGCAAATCCGTAGAAGTTGACATGACGCCAAACACTAAGAAAAGAGCTGCATTCTCAGAAACGTAAGTATGGAACTGTTTCATGTACCGCCATCATTTTTACTTTAAAGTATAATTTGCGTGTAGTGTTGATGCTTACCCGAATCTTTACTTCTCTTTCCCAGTGTACGAGTAGTAGTCACAGAACCTAGTAAAAGCTACCAGGAAGAAACTGTAGTTGCTGATGTACATCCACCTCCCAGCCCTCCGGTCCCTCTCAGCCCACCCATTTTGCATCCCAGTAACACACAGGTATGAGATGTGTTTCTTTGGTGTCCATGTTCAATATTTTAAGCTGGTTTTCACCAACAACGGAGTCGGAACGTGATTCGTAGTCAGAAACTTATGGAGATATAATTTGTTGAAAATCAAACAAACGGAATTGAAAGTATATTGATGTCATTGGTGATGTCGTCGCTTATGATCTGGTGAAAAAAAGGTTTTTTCGTTATGAGAGCGTCTACCGCATCTGGTTCTGACTCCGACAAGTTAAGTTTTCACCAACACAAGCGACGGACTCATAAATAGAATTGTAAGGCAATGAAAACCTTCCAGTTTTTCGATGTTGTCGAGCTGAAGACTCCACTTACTACTTCAGTTTTCCTTTTTCAGTAAGTCATAAACGCTTTAAGGACTCCAACGTCGAGTTCGTGAAAACTTTCTCCTACTTAACACCTCTCTCCCACCCGGCCCTAAATCACTGACGAAGCCGCAGCGTGGAGTGCAGAACGCGCCATTTGCCATTATCGAAATAAGGGAGGGGTTGGTCCAACCGTTCCCTCTGTTTTGTAGTTAATTGTAGATTGAGTTGAGTTGAGTGAGAATTTGGCGTGTTATATGTTTTGTGAACCAGCATCTCACTGCGGATGAGTTGCAATCTGATCCCCAGCTCGAGATAAGTTTTAACATCTATACGAGTCATTCTTTGAATTGACCTTATAGCACAGATCTGGGTTTTGGAAAAGAATACTGCAACTGGCAGATCTAAATGATTGTTTTTAATGCTGTGATTTTCTGCTTTCACTAGTTTGAAGATGATGTGTTGGAGGGAAGAGAAGCACACTTTCTGTCGATTGAAAAGGTAAGCCATTATATTAATTGGTTGTTAGAGAGAAAGTTTATGCGTGCACATGGCTTTGTTTCTTCTTACAATATTTTTTAAACTTAAGTCTCAACAGAGATCCTGACTTATTGCTCGAAAGTTGCACTTTGTGTATTGGGTCTTCCAAAACAAATGATATTTGAGTAATAGTTAGCGCTCCTCCTTTCTTGCGGAACTCCTTCTTCCCGCCTGCTACGAGCTCCTCCTCACTCGTGGGACTCGTCCATTGCGATTGCGTTGCGCGCGCGCAAAAAAAGAGATATCGAGAGTGGGGTTACAGTGATTTACTGATGCAACTACACGTTTATGGAGGCAGTCGGGTTCCAAATGACGATACACCTCCATTTCTTTCTTTTCTTCTTTTTGGTATGGATTGTTCAGGTGTCTGAATTGGGTCTAGAGCTAGAGGAGCGTGATGGTGGAATATTCGTTACAGAAGTTCAGGAACATGGTTGCGTGGCAGTGCATGGTAGGTTTGGTTTATTTACAATATACCATGATTTTGCCTCCTATGGTTGGGATGATGAGATGCGAGGCATCTTTTTGTGTCTTAAGAAAAGCTTGTGGTATCACTAAGGTGACGGGCAAAAATGTAGCGACCATGATATAACACTAGAGGTTCACTCGTCGCAAACGCGGGATAAGGGGATTATACGATGAGAGGCCACCCACGATCTTCCCAGTTCCCCTCAGATGGTTAACCACCGAGTTGACAAGAGGCTGGTGTTGAGCTAAACCATAAAAAAATTGAAATGGTTTGACACGCACACTGCCAGAATTAACCTCTTCGAAAGCAGCATACATGTACAGCACTACAATTATGCTCGATCGTCGGACAAAGGTTACTGGAAATCCAGGTGTTTTATGAACTGAATTTGAGAGGGGCAACTTATAGTTTCAAGATTTTCAAATCTTCCCAACATCACAATATTTTTTTGTTGTTGTTGTTTTTTTTCTTTTCTCCAATCCACTCATAATCCTTTAAGGACTGCTTATTAGTGCTTTGGTTGGAATAGTCTGATGAAAACAGAAACAACATTTAAACCAACTGTACTTCATATTCATTTGTCTACCTCTTTTCAACCTCAGGTGGAGTATGCGCGGGAGATCAATTGCTAAATGTGGAAGGCACAAGTCTTTTGGGTGTCACTGTGCAGGAAGCGCTCGAGGAACTGAACAAGGCTATGAACAGGAATTCGGTGAGTTTTTTCTAATAGTTGGTGGTGACTTAACCTCCTACAGCTGCTGCTACATGAAAGTAGGTACAGATATTGAAAATTGTAATAAGCTTGAATAATTTGATTGATTGTTCTCACCAGGAAAATATCGACCTCGTGGTGGCCATATCTTTGAAGAGAGGAAACCGGCGGCCAGTCCTCAGAATTGGTAGCGTGGTTAGAAAACGAGATCCAGTCACAGGAGCAGAAGTGTAAGTAGTTTTGATTAAAATGCTAATTCCTAAGCCAGAACTTGTTTATTCAATACGTACTACCAAAGAATGCGAAAACATGTTTTATGCATCAAGCTCGAGCTGGTTTTTCGTGTGGAAAGGAGACCGCAGAACCATCAACTCCACCCCGCATTATGGTCTCAGGGTTGAAAGCAAATGCTCACACCACAGATTTATCCCCATTCTGTTTATGTAGCATTATCTGTTGTGAAGGGATGAGAAGGGGGTGGATAGGGAAGAGGTGTGAATGTTATTTCTAGATTAGTCGTAAACATATGACGTCTCCAAGTAAACAAATTTCGTAGAACCATGTGAACATTTTTTGTTGTCATAGAAAAATAATTTTGCTCTTCCTTGTCAATGATTTCTTATTCTTTTCAAGTGCATTTGTTTTTTTGTTTTTGTTTTTGTTTTTGTTTTGTTACTTACTCATCTCTGAATTCTTTTCTGAATCAGTTCAAAAATTCAATTTTTGAGTCATGGCTTTATCGTAAATTTATTTCACTTAAAATGTCCTTGAATTTTTCTTTTCGTGAGTGACGCTATTGAGTCACGTTACTCGCTTGATGCGATACGTCTGTGTAATCGCCCACTGACACTATTGCGATCCATTCAGTAAAACCCCTAAGTCTCAAAAAAGTATTTTTGTTTCGATTTCTTTTAGATACGACACGTGGCTTTGATTAACTCATAATTAAATGGAAGGAAAGCTAAATGAAGACTTCTAGACTAATTTTTAAAATTTAAATTATCTTTTTGTAGCGAATTATGTTGCAGGACTTTAACACACCCAAATCCACTCGTAATATTACAAATGACTGAACCTTTAAAAGCAAAAACTGCATTCCTGTCAAGGTTTCATCAAGGTTTTATTCGTCCTATAGCGAACGCAATTGACACGAGTTACTTTCCACAAAGTTAGAACAAATAAAACAGTCACATTGTTCAAATGCAAACACGAAAAGGAACCCAATGTCGTAGACATATTTTAGATTCATAAATTTGTCCATATTTATCATTGTGCTTTAATAGTTTGCACACTAGTTTATTTATTACAGACAGGGTCTGCAGACAATGGCAGAATTTTGTTTTCAATGTTACAAATTACATGTCAGTGTTTCCATGGTTCAGAGAGCACCTTGACCGAGTCACTCCTAAGAGTGACCAGCATCTAATTTCTCCTTACAATATCACTCCTGAATCACACATAAAGGTGATGAGAATAAAAGAAATGATCACAATCTGAGGTAGCTCTTGATTGTTAAACCAATTCTCCTTGTCAGCACCTTGGGAAATCTACAGGGAACAGTAGGGAGAATATACATACTGATGTTAGGGGTATTGGGTTCAAATCAAAACATGTAAGAATTGTTTCTCACAGAGAATAGAGTATGGAGGGAAAAACAAAATAACGGTAATAAATATTACCTGTTATAACTTCGAGTAAATTTTGAAGTCTAATTTCAATACCTTTTATCTATGGATAACTTTACTTCATAATTACATCTGTTGCTTTGTTGATCGTTTTTTTGAAAAAACTTATGAAACTAAACCTGGTTTCCTTTTGTTAAGAAAGTGGTAACATTATTGTTTTTAACATGAGTGGTATCCCTCTCAAAATTATTTATTAGAAACCTCCGTCGTTTTTAAGGAGTAATCACCTCCGTTCAAAGGGAAGTGAAAAATTGCGCTGAAAAAGGTGTTTTTGTTTTTGGTTACTTAAGACACTGCTGCTTCAAACACATCTAGCGAATACTTATGGCTTAGTTTTCAAATCGTGTATCCACTGCAAATACAGCAATAAGAGTTATGACAACAGAGGCAAGAAACAAGCAGATAAAGAATCTGTTGAGCACATTGGCCGCCAGGACCCACTGATCTTGTAGTTCATCTTTCTTGTCTTGCTCTTTCACACTGTCAGCCAGGATTTTGACCGCGCGGGACTCGGCAGCAGGGAGCTCAGGCTTCTTTTCATGTAAGGCTGTTTAGAGAATAGAACGATAAGAAAACCAATATTAGTTATTCTATCTCTGGGATACGTAATGTTCTCAATTTCCCATGTTGGATACGATTGTCCTATTCCTTCTTGTTTATCCAATTTTTCTCCCATATCCTACCATCCAATTCCCTTCTTTTCTTACTCCATATGGGTCTTCCATTACCTTAATTTCTTTTACTTTTTATTCTCAGTTTTTTTTTTCATCTCTTCCTTTAAATTGTCTCAATTTCCCATGTAGTATGCTGTTGTCTTTTTTGTACCAAGTACAGATATTCTAGTACTTCATTTATATTTCCTGTCTATCGTTCTCTTACATTTCTGCCCTCCCATTCCCTTCTATTCCTTCTCTTTCTGAGTCTTCATTCTTTTCGTTTCTTTCACTTTTTGTTTCAGTTTTTTTCTCCCTTCCTTTAAATTGTGAGTTAGTTTTACTATGATTATAATTTCGCCCAAAGATAACTGTGCTTATGGGTAATCCCTTGCCTAATTACATTTTTGTTAAAAAAAGTTAGAAATAAATTTTAAGCCTCTCATAGGCTTATCTTAACAGAGCTGGCTGTTCTTAGTTCTTTGGACAGTTAGTCTAATGGCTGCCGAAAGTTCTGGTCTGCCACAAGAAACTTAAATCCTTCAATTCCCATGAGTGACTAAGACAGAATTTCTCCTTAAAACTATCATTAAAATATCAGGCAGACAAGTGATAACAATGAAGATAAAGATAAAGGGGATAATTAGTTTATGCAGTACCAAATTCTCCGAACTAACATCATAAGAATAGTATGGCAGACAGTAAGGAGAATTACTGACATCTTTGGGAGTGACAGGGTTAAATTTTGAAAAAACGTTCTATGATCTTACGTTTTCTCCATTTATTTACTGTTGTTCGCACTGCCTTCTCGCTTTCTTCACTCCCGCGGGGTGCTCGCGAATCCTTCTGGTCTTTTTGTGGTTTAATGTGTGGTGTCTGCTCTTGCTCAGCTTTTACTTGTTCGGTTTTGTAGAATACGATTCGCGCCAGGTATCCTAAAATATATTTCTGAAAAAAAAAGAGCAGCAAACAAAATAAAAGACAACAAAACAAAAGAAAAATAAATTCATTTCAATGCATTTCGTGTTATTTTTGTCCTCAATGATGACCTGAAAGGATATATCGTGCAGTTACTTATCGTAAACTTCGAAGTCGTTAGTTAACTCCAAACGGTAGCAAGAGCGTAAACATACGTTGAGCTTGAGAATTACAAGACAATTGGTTACTCTAAGTCCTACTCACCTTTATCCAGCTTGGCAATGCGTGGGCCTGGTGATGAACAAACCGCAACACATAACACATGGCAACAAGGGCCAGCGCAACTTCGATAATTGTGCAACAGTAGTATTTACCAATCAATGGAAGGTTCTTCGAAACTGGCAACTTCTCCTCCACCATTAAGAAAAATACTGCCAGCGAGAGAAGTATTGTAACTCCTACTGCCATCCGCTCGCCGGTGTCTGAAAATCAGTTTACCAAGACAGAATATTAGATATGAATGAGATTGATGGCTGATTCGCTCATATAAGCGAGGAAGTTGATATAAGGGAATGCATACAGTCAGTGGTTGATGACAAGTGACGATATCTAACTGGACTGAATGATTGACTGACAGTCAGAGAAACAGCCAGCATTAATTAAATGATTTAGGAAGTAGACCGCAACAGTTTCATGTCTACATATTTAATCGATGCATGGACTGAGAAACCATCTGACAAACCAATCAACACATTACCTGATTGGTTGGTTATTCAAAGACGACCATTGACAAAAACAGACGCACAGAGAGAGACAGACAGTCTGGCTAATAGAGTTGCTGACCAACTGAATGACAGCGAAACTAAGTGACAGACTGACTGATCAGTTGAATGACAGACACTACTGACTGACTGGGTGACTGACTGATCAACTGACTGACTTACTGACTGACTCAATGACAGACAGACTGACCCATTAACTGACTTTCTGGCCGACGACTGTCTGGCTGACTGTCTCACTCAATCCTTCATTCGCTGGCTTATCGTCTGACTGACTGACCGACTGGCTGACTAGCTAATCCATCAATTGACTCCCTAACTTCACTGCTAGGAGCACACAATTGGCAGGTACTCTAACATCAGTTGAAAGGAAGTGAGTACAAGTTACTGACCTTCAGGCATTAGAAACACGAGGAGTGTCAACACCGAAATAAGCGCGCAAGGCACGATGAAATTTATGACATAAAACGGAGATAGCCGTCTGATGTGTAAAACATACGAAACTCCTGACACCATGGCCTTGCAGCATAAGTGTGACATAAGGCTTCGTTCTGAGCGAGCGCCGATCAGTTGCCATTCTCCATTGGGAAGGTAATGCTGTGTGAATATGATGTCACTACCCGGGTAAATGTTGAGCTTAGTGATGTCATAGTTCCAAGATCCGAATGTCAATTTACACAACTACGAAAAAAGAAACACGTCAGTTTTGAAACCTGTACAACTCTGTTGTGTAATTAAAAAAGGACGAAACAGCTCCGCTAAATCCAATATTAGTTTGAAATAAGTGATGCCGTCATGGTAATTTATTATTGTACTCGAGAATGGGATAAATGAAAGATGCCATCACGTCACCTACCTGTTCGTCCAACGGAAAATTTAGCACGTTTATTTTGCAAGAGCTCATTGTTACCATGGGAATGAACCACGTGACATTACCATCATACGTCACCGTAGCTTTGAAGGAACTTGTCTCCGAGTCGTTAAAGTCCGCACTAGAGAAAACAGGATTATTGATGTTAAAGATGCTATCTGTAGGTAAATTGACTACCTAATAACCCTCGCACATTCGTACTGAAAGCCAGAGTTTATGCAACGGTTGTAAGACGGAGTATGAATTCTGTTCTATGGAATTACTTGTAGGGTCAATAGAGCTGTTTTTTCATAGGGTTTTGTAGCTTGATCCTCAAATTCCCTATGTCAGACCAACATATGTTATACCATTTTCCCCTTTCATGTGCAGACCCTGGCCTCTAAAATCTCTGGAAAATTCAACTCAAATTTTCTGTTTTTGGTTACTTTTCGTTCTCTGTTATTACTTGAAGTTAAAAAGGCAAATACATTTATTACGCTCTCTCGGTTCCTTTGGAAACCTAACAAAATTTAAGGCCATAATGACCTTCAAACTATTACCTTTGAGGCGACACATATCGTCATAGCTTATACCTTATATGAGGGAGTACCCTTTCCCTACCCCAACGGAGCTTGATCTCAAAGTTTCTTAGTTCAAAATTGCAAATGCTTTAAGGCGCACTAATGAGCGATCAAACAACGCTTACTTTATTTCTATTCTTGAAACTGCTGCAAGCAATGTTTTTGTCTTTCAACTTTTTTAGCATTTATTTTTGAAAGTTGATTTTAATACTCGGCAGCCAACCCTGGGGATTTTCAACGTATCTTATGACATTCTGCCTTTTTTAACGATAGGGGATATTCAGTAAAATGTGTTAGTTACGATACTTTTTTTTAGAAGAAATAGCGTTTTGTGTTGTGAACAGTTTATTACCTTTGATCAGTGGAAGTTTTCACAGTTGATAGCCCTTTTTCATCGTTGATGATATTTGGAGGGAATGTGGTTATGAAAAGTGTCAAGTTTCAGTTGCTATGATCAACGATTAAACACTTGAAGGAAACTTTAACACTAGCCTCTTTCCGATTCATGAGTTAATTGTCGCCTACATCATTTTAATGATGCACAAATCCTCAATCGGAAGAGTAGAGTGGAGGAGTGTTTCACGCCTATAAGATGGCGTGATCGCTAAGGAAGCCTCCTTGATTTGTTCGGTGCTTGTTTAAAGAAACATGCGAAATTAATTTAAACATAAGTCGATAAATAAAGAACACAGTGTACAGCCAAAAGCTTAAGCTGCTCATGATTGAGTGCTCTTCAAGTAATTGGCGATTGATTGATCATGGGGATTCACTATATTCAAGCCTCCGTTTAGGTCATAACTTCATCAGTCTAATTTCGACCAGTTTTAAAGCAAATAAAATGGAATCATACCATACATCCCATAAGGAACGGTATGCCGTCTATTTTTTTACCCTTCGTAGGCTATGATCAATAATTAAACACTTGAAGGAAACTTTGACACTAGCCTCTTTCCGATTCATGAGTTAATTGTCGCCTACATTATTTTAATGATGCACTAATCCTTAGTCGGAAGAGTAGAGTGAAGGAGTGTTTCACGCCTATAAGATGGCTCTCCCCAAAACACGTGCTTGTTTTTACGTTAGTGTTAGACGGCGTGATCGCTAAGGAAACCTCCTTAATTTGTTCGGTGTTTGTTTAAAGAAACACGTGAAATTAATTTAAAACATAAATCGATAAATAAAGAACACAGTGTACAGCCAAAAGCTTAAGCTGCTAACGATTAAGTGCTCTTCAGGTAATTGGCGATTGATTGATCATGGGGATTCACTATGTTCAAGCCTCCGTTTAGGTCATAACTTCATCAGTCTGATTTCGACCAGTTTTAAAGCAAATAAAATGGAATCATACCATACGTCTTATAAGGAACGGTATGCCGTCTATTTTTTTATCCTTCGTAGAGTTCTAAACTTTCTATGTAGGGCCGTTTTAAAACGATAACGATCGTACTCGAGCTAAGCCGTGTATAACTGCCGCTTAGTACTTCGTTTTCAACGTGACTGAGATTCTCGGACACGTGGAGGTTGTATAAAAGCAATAAGCAATTTTTTTCTGGTTCACGTGTAACTTTGTTTTGACACGGGTCCTGACTTTCGTGTACATATTGTGGCGATAATCAACTTGAGTTATTACAACTCGTGCGCGTTTTAATCTCTTTAGAACAAAAACTTCCCCTTTTTAGGCAGTTTTAGAGGAATTCTCAAGGAAATGCAAACAAAGAGCTATCGAACCGAGTGCGTTTTCATGTCCAAATTTCAGTTAATGACACTTTAATTTCTAAAACTGTTTTGTAGAAAAAAAACAACGTGACTCATTTACTTCTTGCATGTCAGCCTATTTACGAACGCCTTATTCTACTTTTCGATTGAAACAAGGACAACATTTTAGAATTCATTTACCTTTTTTTTCAGTTGTTTACCATACACCTGCTTTGAAAAAAGTTAGAATTGCGTTGTTAATGGAAAACGTGACTTGAACAATAAAACTTTTAGATTTTAAAGGGAATTCAATTAGTTATTTGTCTAATTTTTGAAAAAATTGTATTTTCTCGTATGTTGCCTTTTAAAAGATTTAGATCGTCCATTTGAAGTGCACTGAAAGGTTCTCTTTAACCGTTACGCGAAATTTAAGCAAACTCATCGTTCAACATCATGGTCGTCTCTCCATGGTTGCTTCTCCAATACGCTGAATGTTTTGCCGGCGGATTTTTAGTTTCGTTTTGCTTGTGTTATCCGCGATCGCCAAAGAATCGCGAAGAATTAGAAAAGGAAGAAGGTTTCGTATTTAATTCTGATGAAGAGTCCGTGATCATAGACGAATTTCCAACTACGACGACAGAGGTGCCTGAAACGAAAAGGATGTCCTTGGAGGGTAACCCGAGCGTGAGTGAAAAAGAAGAAGACGACGAAAAAGCAAAATGCATCGAGTCTGAAAATTTAAGTTGTGTGTGCCAGCCAACGATGAAGGAGGAAAAGAGTAAAGCAAAGGAGCAATAGTTAATTGACTAGAAAAACGGCCAGAATCTTGTTCAAAACATACGTTTCGAACACTTCAGTTTGATTAATAATGAAGAGGATGTCACGATATGAAACAATTTCTTTTTACTCAGTAAAAGTCCCTCTTACGTTTGTCAATTTACAGAATTGTGAAAATCGGATTTTTCATGTTTGTAAATGTAAAAATCAAGTTCAGTGTATTTCGCTAAGTAAGCTTCGAAATAAATGTTAGACGATGAAGGCTCTTTGCGGTATACTTGTAGGAGAGCTTCGATAGATTTAATTTCAATTGTTCCTGAAGACAGAAGCACCCATCTCGAACCTTTGAGCGAAATTTTTGTCATTATCTCACACAAATTTTACTCACTTGTTGTACAATATTATATGGGGTGTCCATATTTCATTTCCATCTAAGTTCACTTGCTTTATGTCGCCATAATCTGAAGTATTCCATTTTAAGTTCTGATCTTTCCATTGCTAAAATGAAAGGATACAATTTATATTTAATGTCAGAAATCAATATGCTGTATAACTCAAGCGCAAAACTTCAATTTTTCCCTTCTCAAAATAGACTCTAACTATTTGAAAAGTGGTAAAAATGGACGTGAAAATTTTACATTACTTGGAAAAACACGGCCGTCTTTTATACAGAATAGGTGGCTCAATTAAAAGATCTATTTCAATCATGACATTGCAACATTAACCTTCAGGATATAGTTAACACCTATTTTTTTTTTTTAATCCCTTATACTATGTTTTTCAAACATATCACGGTCAAATGTAAACACTTTGTTCGATGGTTAAATTGACAATTATAACATAGCGCGCGTGCTTGCCCTATATAAGTCCTATTGAGCCGCTATGAACAAAATCTTTATTTACGCACGCCCGTGCGTAAGTAGGATGACGTGGGCATTTTTTTTACGTAACTTCAGAGTTTCCGTCCTGTTAAGCTGCAGTGCAGTTTTCTTCTCTTTGAAATATGGAGGAAACCAGCGAAGAACTGCCCAGTTTTTCTATCGGCACTGACCTTTTAGGTCCTGATCCAACAAGCAACAAAAATAAAGCCGAAAAAAACTCGCAAGTTGCACGTCTCGCAAATTTGTCGGAAGCGTAAACATTATTTTTGAACAATCAAAACCCTTGATAACTTCGGGTCTGACTTTTAAAACATTTTTTAGTGACACTCGAGTTCATTTGGCTTTGATTTTCTCCATTTCCCCCGTAAATTTTGAGCTTTTCATTCACAGTTATCGGTTAACTGGAACAAATGTTCTTGCTCAAACCAAAGTATAAAATGTGGCGTGTTTCTGACTAGCCAATAGGGAAGTTTGTTTATTATTTTTTTTTTGTGCGTTGTGAGAATTTTCAACAAAAGGCTTCTTTGTGCAGATCCTTGTGGTCGCTCTGTTATAAAAGAATTTGCTCATGCTTTTAGCTGTGCGTATATCGAGTTATGGATGCACTTGGGAGTTTGGAGAGCACTCAAAAAGCTAGAGTTGCTCTCGGCTGCGCCTCGAGCTACTCTTACGCATTTTTCGTGTTCTCCAAACTTTCCGCGTGCATCCATAACTCGATATACGCACGCTACGTATGAACAAATTCTTAATTATTCACTGAAGGGGAGGTGAATAATGGTGGATATTTTACCGAGCCACAAAGCGACGAAGTAAATATCCACCACCTTCACTGACATTGAGGTTCTAGTAAGTACCACACTGATACCAAAAAATGAGCTGATTTCTCTTCACATATCGAAAAATGGACGAAAATTTAACCATTGCCGCGTGATTTGTTTCATTGGCTGCTCGAAGGTGAATAGTGCTTGGTATTCACTTCCGAACTAGCCAACCAGCGCTCGCGAAAAGCACTTTACACCTTTTTGGTGTAAACTAACAAATAATTTGCGCGGATACTTTTCGAGATAGTTTGTATTTTTCCAAGCTCTGTAGGGGCGTGGAAAAATATGAGCAATTATCAAAACGTACGCTCGTATTATGGGATAAACCATCGAATAAGGGATTTGTTTTCCCGGAATTATTTCATATTTTATTATTTCTGGGGGGGGGGGGGGTGTGTTGGGGGGGTGTTGTAACGAAGTGTAAATCCTTTCAAATTTAGTTCTTTATATTTTCTCAAAAGTGGTGACGTGAATGTTATGTGTTAACTAATTTTTCCTGGTCTGTAGCTACCTAGGCCTTGCCGCCAATCTTACCATTTTTATCCGTACATCTAAGTCAATTTTATGATGTTTTTCATCCTGAAATACAAGAAATATTCACGGTAAGGAACTGTCGTGTTGAATTTCTGAGCAGATCTTGAACTTGATAAATATGGAAATTAACCACAAAATGTAAATTCACTGTCAAGAAGGCTGTTGTAGTCATGAGGGAAATTATCGACTAAGAGCTTCTTTACACGGCGATTCCAACTTTCTTATTGATTTAGGTTGAATCATAGCAGTCAATGTTTGGAAACGTTTACATGGAGAAAATATGGTTGCCACCAATAGTGTAGCTCTGTTTTCTACATATAAACACACATACAACCCAAAATTCTTCCATTCACTCTGACGAGGGGCTAACGCTCGACGCGTCAGCTTTTAAATTCTTTACGGTGGGCAATTTACACAGATCAACTCAGTTAATAATACCAAATTACCTCATCATACTCCCCCACCGACGCAGCAACACAGTCTCTCTAGAAACTTACCCTCTTTCTACATGGAAAAGTAAGTCAAATTGATTCAACCCTCTTTTCCGGGTAACCCTTGTCGGCATTTGGGTTCACTCGACGAGAAGATTTGAAGTTTCATTGCGTTTTTCATGTGAACACTGACAAAAAAGCCAATTTGGGCTGGAAATTTCACTCGTGCTAACTGACCTTTGTTTTGATTTGTCTAGATCGCTTCGGTTTTCGTTTTGTGACACTCGATTTCAAACTGCTCTGAGAACTTTCTCTTAACTAGGAACACTTACAACTTTAACAATCCGGTAAAGAATCAAACTGTGTCGAATTTTTAGGGTGTGGTTGTCATGGAGAACTGGTCGGAACCTCATGCTGTAACGAGTAGTATTCAGAAGATAGTTTGTTAGGTTTCCCTCTTGAGAACAGCAACATAGCACTCCTATGAAAACATAAAATACCAAAAGAAAATCAGCGATAAAAGGAAAAGCAATTAATACAATAAACTTACTCGCAGAAAATGTTTTCGTCCTGGGCAGAAGTAACAACGAACTTGTTACAAGGCCTGTGAATGAATCGATTACTTTAAATTTTCGCGTTTGTCTTTATGAAACACCAAAATCTTAGATATAGATGACAGACATCTACTGAAATGTTTGGGACACTTGTATAGAGTGGAGATGTCTCAACCAATTTCTATTGACAGACAAATTCACGGATATTTTTTTTTCCATTCTTAGCTCTTGCCTCCCAGCTGCCAAGTCAGCTAAGATACACGGGTAAACTACTGTTTACGCAAGAAAAGCTCCCTGTAATAAAGAAATGCAGGGGGATTCATGTTTGATAACAATTGTGATGCTAATCGTATTCAGTATTTAATATTATTTTCATCATTCATCGTCACCTTCATGATCATTCTTAGTATTATCTTTGTTATCATTTTGATTTTGGTATGAAATTGATAGAAGCCATGGAAATTGAATGTGATCGCTTCTGAACGTCGCAGAGTGTGTAGAGGAAATGTAATTTTAGTGCGTATTAAGTTATTTGGATGGATATGAAATATATTTACAAAGTTTTATTTTTTGTTATTATTATTATTGATCATTATTATTTATAAAGTTCTTTTTGATTTTATCTTTATTACTTAATATGATGATGATGATTATTATCATTATTATTATTCTTATGAGAAAGGTGGTGAAGTGCGAAAGGTTTTGTCGAAGATTGTTGCATGTGAAAAGGAGTGGATGTTTGTGAGGAAATTTACCGATCACATCCTGTATTCATTAGAACGCTTTGCAATCAAACTACTATTATTTTTTAAACTACCATTTGCTTTTCATTTTTCGTTCAATTATTTGCCAATTTCTTCATGAGGTAGATGTGATGTGACTTCAATAGCCTCTAGTGAAAAAAGCAAACAAACAATATGGCCACTTCATGGCGTCATCAAAGCCTTTTTGCCGAATTATTCTGATATATTTACATAGTTACGAATTGAGGTACGTAAAATCGAAATTCATTCGAACAAGTTCACCTCTGATATAGGGATGTTGTAATATTTGGTGTAGATAAGAATTTTCTTCTATTTAACAACATACAAAATGCAAAAGCTTTATTGAAATCAATCTTCCGGGCGCAGACACTCAAAAATTTTTTTCCCGAAGGGAAGTCGTGCTGAAGGTAGATTCGAAGTTTTAACCATTGTCTTTGTTTTTTCCCGACGGTATTCATCAGTTACAAGTGTTTTAGTGCTAAGAATATTTTGAAAAATGCTGACTTGGAAGGGTGCAAAATATTACGAAAACAAAAAGCAAAAAAAAAACAAACAACAAATACCTTCCGTGAGGAACACGAGGCAAGCTATAAATAATCTGTAGAGGATCTGCATTTTTCTTTTGAGACTTCCTCCAGTAACCCAAGTCGTAAATGAACCATATTTTCACTGCTGTTGAAGAAAAGTTGTTGAACCGGAGAAAAATATTTCATTTATGCTGCATACTAATTCACCGACGAAATTATATACAAGAAAGAAATTACAGGTGGCAGGCCTGCTGCCAGAATATCAAACTGACAATCGGAAAAATACGAGCAATTATCGATCATTTTAAGTCGGCCTAAACCGAACATCGTCATCGTTGATAACTACCTGAAGTTTCAATTCTCGTCAAGGTCTTTTACAGGTGGCAAGCACCCGCTGTTTTAGTACCCAAACGTTTCAGGACTGACAACGGTAAAAAAAGAGTCTAGAAACTGATATTTATCTTCCTTGAAAACGAACTTCGTCGTCGTAGAAAGCGAAGTTTGAATTTCCTACCACGAGGGTCCATTTTTAAACTTGTTACACGTTTGGATTGAAAGAGAGAGGTTTAATAACAAAATGTAGCTCCCAGAAAGGACGGAAGTGTATGTACTCTTCGGGTTTTCCAGTATTAATAGGGAATGATTAAGACTATATTTATTTACCAGTCCTCACTGATTTTTAGGTGTTCTTAAAATAGTCTTTGCAAAAAAAAAATCGTTATATGGTCGAGGAAGCAGTATTGCGATTTTCAGGGAGATCGCTTCTTGTTTCTCGCTTCTTCGTTCGTTTCAGAATAACACGGAAAAAGTGTTTGAATTTATAATTGCTTCGAATGAATGCATAGTTTACCATGATTACCTCACTAAGGAATAATAAAGAAAATAACGTACTAGTAGGTGGAAGCAAAGCTTTAAGTGCAAGTGCTAGGTCAGTGTAGTTACTTGTTAATCGAGACTAACCTCGTTTTGTTAGATGAGCAAAGCTTCCTTGAACTGAAGAAACTCAAAGTTTCAAATTCACGAAATTTCTAAATCGAATAAATTGGTACCCAGGTTCAATCACCGCAAAGATTCCATTCCAACATACTCAGCTTTGAAGCGCGCGAAGCACGCACCAGTATAGGATGTAAAACCGCGTTCGAGTAAAATATTTATTCTTTGCACTCTTTACGGTGGTACATGTACAAATCAAGCCTTGCCCGTGGAAAGAAGAACTTAGTACAAATTCGCTGTCTCTGTAAACATCTTTACACAAACCCGGGTTGATAAATGTCATTCGTAATCTTTAACTACACGACTAAGCGGGTACGAGACCTTCCATGATTTTGTTCGGGCATGTTTAATTTTGTAACAACAATTACTAATTTTGCGTGCATGTATTGAAGGAAACTGTATATTTGCTGTTTTAGTTGTTGTTGTTGTTCTTTTTGTTGTTATTGAGCGATTGTTCTCCGAAAATTCTCACGATATTTCGCACGAAACCTCGTCTTGTTGATGTCGGTGATTGTTTTGTCTTTACTTAATTTAGTGGACGTCCTGTCTACCAAAAGAATCTATGTAAAATTTGTTTGAAGAATTTCCATTTGTGAAAGCAGCTATATATATGACAATTTAATAGGGCTACCATCAGAACCCACATAAGTTATTCCCGTTTCCATTTTTTAACGAACCGTTATTTATCTCAAGTCAGTATTCCGCCATTTCAATAGCATGTTTACGGGACAAAAAGATATCAAGTTAGTGCTGCAACAGAAAATATCGCAGATATTTGTCTAGAGGAACTGATTGCCGCTTGAATATAAGAGTTATTTTGATTACGAAGTTTTTCAATATCGCAGAAAAATTTAGCTTCTCTTCTAAAGATAGAGCAACGCAAAAATTGATTTGGCGTGATTTAACGTGAAATAAAGTGCTTTCAGCTTTAATCCAATATCATGTAGTTTGGGATACATCTAGAAGTCCTATACCGGACTGTGGGAAAAGAAAGCTAACGAACCTCTTCAGAATTTGTTTATAACTCTACGAAAATTTTCGCGATCTTTCGTAATCTTTCTCCGTGTTATAGATATCGGTGATTGTTGTCTTTTAAATCTTTGTTTACTCAATTTAGTGCACGTCCTGACTACAATAAGAAGCTGTTAAACATTTACCGAAAACATTTCTCTTGGGTGAAGCAACCACATCTATTTTAGCAGGACTTCTTCAAGGTCCCGCAAACTCTTCACTTGCCCCTTCTTAATTAGCAAAGTATCATTTATCTCGATTATTTCGCTATTGCAATCGCATGTTAGAAAAAGAGAACAGAGACAAAACACAACTTAAACAAAACATCAAGTTAGTTCCGCTACCAAAAAATCATAGATATTTGTTTAGGGGAAATTACCGCTTGATTAAACGTGAAGTATTTTAATTAGTAAGTGGATACAGACACAAAAAAAGAGAACAAAGACAAAAATACAGACACAGATTACAGATACAGACGGTGTAAAAAAAAAAATCGTTTCTATGTAGAACACCGACTTGTGGTTCAGTTTGATCACGCCCTGTGAGGAGAAAAAAAACGCCTGGCACTTGAGTTCTTCCCTTCAAAAGATTCGTTCATGATAGTTCAGTATTACTGATAAGAAATGAAAAGAAACTTTGTAAATGAGGGAAATAAATTTACAATCAATGGATATGCAGTTTTTGCGTTTAGTAAACAAGACACCTGTAATTAAATCAAAATAAGAAAATCTCAGAGTTTTTAGAAGGTTTTACTAAAATTCTACAAAAAAACATCCTGCAAGAACCGATGTAAGAATTTGCTTATCAATTGTCGAGAGCATAGAATTGTTTGCTCAATTGAAACCAATATCATGAAGCCTAAAGTATTGCTGAATATCATCGGTAGATAAAGTCTCAGACCTCTTTTTTTTCCTAAAAAGGGTTTTCTGGAAGACGAGGCCATAAGTCAAATAATTTCGGACCTATGTCACATCAATGAGATTTTTATGCCAATAAAATAATCAAAATGAGTTTCAACTGTGTCATTAAGCTAGTAATGACAACTAGGAACATTTTCTCTGAATAACCTCTCGGTTTGATACTCACACAGTTGTAAGATGTAGAATAAATAACACGCTGTGGAAATTTTGAGTGTTGCACTATGTGCGTGTTTTGATTTGCGTCTCAGAGCTTGGTGTGGTGCAATATTTTATCTGTCTCGGAACGGGAGACATTTTTATTCTAGAATTAGCATTCCTCGTCCTTTTCTTGGCTGTGGATTTATCCTGTAACATTGTCACAACAAACTTTAGCCCTTCAGTTTCCATATCGCCATTATTAATGCCATATTCTCGCAGGTAGTAAACAGTTTCTAAACGAAGAAATGATCTTAGTAACGAATGCTTAGCAACCTTGAGTGTTTACCCCAAATCATTTTGTAGCCAAGTACACACTTGAACTTTCATAAGATCCGAAGGATCTGAACAAACTGAGATAATCTCTAATATTGTTAGTTTCGAAGAGAGCTTAGATCCGTTGAAGATCACATTGCAAAGTTGTAAAAATTGGTTTGGATCAATTTTATTCATTTCTTTCCATAAGCAACTGACAAAACCTAAAAATTTTAAAGGAAACAACTAATAAAGATCATCAACTTATAAAAGCTTATTTCCAAGCTAATAATCTTGAAGTGCAGCTAAAGATAAACTAGTTGCATTTAAAAATAACTGGCGCCAAAACTCGGTCCTTTATTTTCGTGTTGACGAATCATTGTTAACAAAACGGAAAATTATCTCAAGAAGCCTAAAAAAAGTTTTTGTCTAATATTAGTTGCCACAACACCTACGCGTCGGAAAAAAACGAATTTAATTACCTTTCTCCGAGTGCTATATAAGCTGCCGAGCTAAGACACTGTAGAATTACTTTTTCTTAAGGTTATTATTGAAACATCATGGCGTGCACTCGATTTTTGCGATCTGTTTGGATTTTCGGATTCTGTTTAGGTAAGTTTAATTATGAGGTTCTGCGCAACCAAGTGGGTAATTTAGATATCGTTTTTTATAGGCAATTTAGTGATCAATCATTTGATTAGCGACGAAGAGTTAAATATTCGTTCTTTTCGTTTAAGAACTGTAACGACTGCGACGAGACCCACGCATCAGGTATATTCTATTTTCTCCGCCCATGTGGGACGGCCTTATTGCCACACACCTTTTTCGCCGATTAGTGAGTGAAAGACTGAGAAGTGATTGAAACGGAACTTTTTTGAGTTTGAGTCACTTTTCATCGATTACTGTTCGTGAAGGATATTATTCCAAGAGTTTTCGACGAGAAGAGAAAACCAAAATAGCACTGAAGAAATAGATACCGATTTGAAGTAAATACAACTTACTAATAGTAAATAGCTGCAAAGCTTCCGAAAAGATTCTGATCCGACCACTGAAGTCGCTCAAACAAGAGAGTTAGTTGCAACCACACTCTCCGTCAAAACAATTGAAAGGCTGTGCGTCGTTGGCACCAATCTTCTCGCGCAAACCGTGTGGTTATGGTTCAACCTCCTTTACTTCCGATCAGAGTTGCTTTTGTCGCTGTAAAATACCCATTTTATGTCGTGATGCCTTGCAAGTTAAAGAAAATGTGTTGCAAATGTTATACTTTACGCTGAAAGCATGATTTCGTCTAGACATATAAAATTTCGCAATTGTAGCTTAACACAGGAATGATGTTATGTCCAGTTTCATGGAGTTTCTAGATCTTTTACGCTGGTTTAAACATGATTACCGAAATACCAAATTTTTATTTCGAGCGAGGTAAAAACATAGAATTTATGCCTACTTATTGGCGGCAATTCTCTGATCACTTTCGTAACGAAAAAAAGTTAAAACAGTCGATATAAAACTACTTAAAGCCATTTTTTGCTTGTGTAAATAACTATTGAAGCCCTCAAAAATCGGTAAAGGCTTAGCCCTTTTATAAAATAAAAGCAGGAATCGGAACTCAATTTTTAACAATAAAAAAATAAAACTTTAATCTAATTTATCTAGGCCGGTATAATTAATGACGTTTTAGCCAACTTTTTCCCGAAACATTCCGCGCGACCAATACTCAAAAATGCATGCGAGCGCGTCTCTAGAAGGTCATTATCAAATTTTTTCGATTCCTGTTTTCAGTATCGCTACTGATAGTCCCTGTAGCTTCCGTTTGGTTATACTGGGCTTCGTTGCTCAATAGGCACGCACTCTGGCACGAGTTTGAGCAACAGATACTTATCATAAACATTGGCGATTTTTTGACAAAGCTGGAGCAACCTGATTTGATTCCTCGTGGAGATTTTTTTGGCAAAATATTTATTAACCTCCGACGGCTGTCAGATAATTGAAATGTGAGCAATATGGAAAGAAATTTCAGAAAAAAGGAAATAAACTTATGGCAGCAATATAAGTCATTAGTGAAGCTTAGTTAACACTCCCAAGTCGATAAATGATCTCAACAGTAACATCTAGGTTTGCTCAAAATTTTCGGAGAAATTAATACCCTTCCTTATACTCAATTGAGAGGAAAATGAAGAGGGTTTGAAAACGAGCCAAGGACGATAAAACATATCGCAAACATCTCTAACTTCTATGTAAGTAACAATCGCAGAATGATTTACTCTTCACGCGTAATTAATGCTGTATTAATGAACTCGGAGTTCAAAACTGAACTTACAATGTAAAGCTTCTATTGGTTTAGTTAGCTGTACTGTTTACGACATAGCTGACCGATGTTTTGTATCTTTTGACAGCTTTAATTTTAATGGTATGTTTGGCTGACGAGCTTAACAAGGAAGACGATGAAAAGACTATAACAGACGATGACGTATCAGCTAAAATGCTCTCCAAGTCTGGAAAAATCATGATTGTTCGAGATAACGACGACGATGATGATGACGATGATGATGACGATGATGATGACGATGACGATGACGATGATGATGACGATGACGATGACGACGATTTTAGGGACGATAATGAAGAGATGCTATCATTTGAAGTAGACGAGTTGAAGGAAAAAGATGTCGATGGAAATGATGTTGATACGGTGGACAAGCATTCTGTGGATTCGTTTGACGACGTGGACTTTAAGTTTACAAAAGTAGACACTCAGGCGAAATATGATGGGGTCCCTGTTACAAACGTGAACCTATCAGCGACCCTACCTCCTTCTTCTTCTCTGGAGATCATGGTTTATCTATTTCGTCAGGCGGGGAAGGTTACATTTGGGAATGAAACCTTCAGGGTGGAAAAAGGAACAGTCAAATTTAATATTAAGGTAAGTGTTGTACCAACGCGAGGTGACATCGGCATGGTCGACACGTGTTAAGTCCTTGCTAATTAAGCACTCTACAATTCGACATTGAAACCTACGTCATTTTAAGGATCAAAAATGTGGTACGTTTTTAACCATCCCTATCAAAGGTCTCTTCACGCTACAGAAACCAGAGTGACTCAATTAAAGCTGAGAGTATAAGAGGCGCAAATATTAGAGACCTTTTTTTGCGCTGCTTTGAGCGGAACAACTGAAATTCTCTTTCCATTCGCCTGCATTCGTCTATGATATTAAACACTAGATCTCTTCATCTGAATACGATTGTAATCTTACTCAGTTAACAACCATGTCCTTCACAGATCAGCAACTGGGATTTCTGTGACGGGTCGTTTGTTGACTGCAGTGAAGGCAAAGTTGGAGAATTTCTTGACCTAAAACTTAAAATCAAGAGTAAGGATTCTCCAGCAGAAATAAGTGACGATGACAGAAAAGCCGCCGCCAAGAGACCCATCTGTAAAGACGAGGACAGTGATGACGACGGCCCCGATGATCCGAACGATGACGATGATGATGACGATGATTGTCCGAACATTTATGACATCGGTGGAGACTCTGAAATGCTGCTTAACAAAGGGGTTAGTTTATTAGTCATTACATCCTGTCCAACGTTGCATCAGGCAGTGAGATAATTTTGATTTTGTTTAATCGATGAAAATTTATTTCCATATACAGCGCAGTTTTTTTTTCAATAAATACAGTGTTACTAATACTGACTTAACTCTAAAAGTGGCAATAGCAATTAAGGCGAGTTCACAACGAGACAAACTTTTTGCTTCCGAATTGGCGCTTGTTATTTTCTACATTTCCTCTTTCTGCACCCACATTTTTTGTCCCTCCTTCGCTTGTTTTTATTAGAGAATCTTTATAAATGATGTACATTCTTCTTTTGCTAGGTGGTTACCGATGATGATAAATACACTGCCTTCCCCCAAGGATATCCTAAATTTGAGATCGAGGATGGAGAGAAGAAGTTCGTCTTCCGAATCCCTAAGTTCAAGAAGAGTGTCTTGGTTGATCCAAGTGTAAACGTAGGCCGAGTCAATGGCGCTACTTCTTTGGCACACGCTAATATTGGGCTGGCCCTTTTGCTATTTGTCGCCGCTTTTTTCCTCACTAATCTTGTCTAAAAGCTTTTTGTTAATGGGTAAAATTCCTTATTATGTGTCCGCTAGTAATTCTTATTCATTGAACATGAAAAAATTGTTATTGGTTAAAAAAAGTTACTATCAATTGCCCCTTTTATTTTTGGCTCAAATTTTGTCTTCCTTTGCTGCAAATTTATTAATTAACTGTCTTACCATACATTATCATACCCAAAAACAAAGGAAAATTGAATTATGAACCACAAGGATAGAGTGGAACCACAAATCTTGCATAAGAGCTTGCGTGTAATCAAGTTTAAGATCCCTTTCGTCATAAACACCACTTTGTTACTACTGCGTGAGCTTCTAATTTTTGTTTAAAGATTACTGACGTAACTTAAGGATTATTCAAAATTGCTTTTCAAATGATTAGGCTGGAGTTGCATTGTTCTACATTTACAGATGAATTTCTGATGTAGAGTATTTAACGGTATTTCTTAAGTTATTGGGTCACTGTGGTGGCAACGCCCAATCCATCCCTTGATGGAACGGTTTAATTCCCTTTATTATTGAAGTCTACGAGTTCAGAAATCGTTTGGGAAAGGCAATTGCTTTCTCTCGTGTAATTTGCTTTTGGCTTTACACGAAAAAAATATACGACATGAGTCTATTGAAAGGATTAGGTAGGAAAATCGTGACTATTGTAAAGAAAAACAGGGGCTATCAGGCGACGACGCACTCAGGTCGGAAGCAGTTTGCTGAGATTCAAAATGAAAAATCTCCTTCAAACGGAAAACTAATTTTGTCTCCTGACGCTGTATCTCTTGCTGAGTGCTGACAAGAATTTTCAAAATGAAATGCTAAAGATCTGGGTTTTTCTGTAATAAATGTTATGAATCTTATTATAACTCTAAAATTTAACATAATCTGCTGAACTGACTCATGTTAGATCAGTTTACGATGTAACGCACATTGTAAGGAAATTATGTAGCTTAGTGCTTGACACAGAATTAAGAATAAAAGAGAAACCTTGCTTCGCGTAAGCCTTTAAGTTCATTTGCTGCCAGGGTTGCACGAAAGCAATCTGGAATTTACACTGGTTTTGCTACACTTTGCTTTGTGGAAAACTTGCGCCGCTCTGGTAACTAATCAAATGGCAAGTCAAAACCAAAAGCGACTTTGTTGCTTACGTTTTCCCGCGCTGTTAGGACTACTCTCGTTTTGATTTTACGACACCCAACCGACGTTCTACGTTTGTCAGACTGTGACTGACTACGTCAGATATTTACATTTCAATACAGTGCTATTTACAGGAGAGAAGGGCAGGCTCTATTACTTGACTGACTTCCTGGGGTGATTAACTTGTAACTTCTCCGCATGATATTCATTTATTGTCCAAACAGGTGACGGGAATAGTCAAAGTTATCGGATAGAAGTTGTTATCTGATCTTACACCAACTTCTCGTGACTAATTTACAAGGAAATGTCCGGCAGTTAGAAGGGAGAATCAATTGTCAGATCGGCTTCGGAGTGTTAGGGTTAAGGAATTGTGGCTTTATTCAGACCAAATTGCCACAAATTTTGTACGGAGTTGAAAAGGAAAGTAATGGAACTTTCATGTACAATAATATTTGATGCTCAAGCTTAAGGAAATGATACATATACAGCAACTCAGGAGGGAAACATCGTGTTTTGCGGTTTAACAATGACGTTATCAGTCACAGCTCAGTCTTTTTATCCGTCAAATTCGTTTAGCTTGCTCTGATCTAAAATCAGTCGTGCAGTGTGTGTCACAGTGTTGTGTTGCGTCAAGTTCAATTTTTTTTTAATAAAACTCCCTTTACAATTACAGCGAAACAAAATAATTTTGATTTGTGGTTTCTTGATCAAAAGACCTTTGCAAATTGATCTTTGACCCTTATATTAGTCTCAGGCGATCAACCAAAACACCCATTGTGTAGCTTATCAGATTGGCAGCCAAAATATTTCAGTTGTATCGGTGTTTCGTCAACGTTTTTATTTTGCCAATGATGCCGGATTTCTAGACTCCGGAGCTCCTAAATTTCTTTCAGTCACAGACTTTTATTTGAGGGTATGGAAGGAGCAGGATTATTTAAAACTTAAAGTTCAAGCTGGAGGGCTCTATAAAGATGGGTGTTGACTAAAGGTTTTCGCTTAACTTTCTTCCTCGATCAATTATTTCTTGGAATGGAAAAATTGAATTCAAAAAATTACTACATAAGCAGACATATCACTTACAGACTGCCTTGTAAACTTGTAAAGGCTCCTATGAACTTCAACATGCATGCTAATGAATTATTTTAGAAATTTTTGAATCAAACTATTGTTTCAGTGCACTATGAGGTAAACACCTTGAAGGCATGAGGTGAATTGTTCATTGTTTCCCTCTAAAAATAGCTCTCTTAGTTTCCACACTTGACGAATTCACTCTGACACCTCCGTCGCTTGATAAACAATCGCCTGACCTTCAAAGATAATTTGGACAAAAAATATGATACACAGAGCAGACGGACTTTACGAAGTTCGAAAAGTAAGTCTCGACAACTTCAGAAAGTATGCCATAAGTCACATATAAAGCTTCTTACACAAATCATGTTTGTGCGCTTAACACGTGCCTTGTAAATAGCCTCCGGGTACAACACGTGCAAGAACGGGTAGTGGCAAGTCGACGCTGAGATTGCATTTTGGAGGGGTCAGAATGATAAACCCTAAAATGGAAGTCCATTTAAGTTTAAAAAAACTAGTGATATTACTAATAATCGTCGAGTTACAGGATAAATTTTTTACTCTGGAAAGTAAATTTCCTCTAACCTTCTAATACATAATTTATTACAATGTGGGGTATTGCGGGGGAGGAGGAAAATGAATAGTTTCATATTTCGTAATGCAACTCACCAACTCTCTTAAAAAAACGTGTTTATTTTTACTCTTTCCAATAAAGTTTCTGGACATGGCAAGAATATGGCCCATCATAGCAACAAAGCTGTAAGCGCGCGCATAAGTTAAAGCAAATATTCTAAATTACTTCTAGTTCATGTCATTCTATTTACATTTGTTTAAGTCTTTACGATTCTAAACTCTTGCAAAATTAGGGTCAGGAAATATTATTCTTATTTACAGTGTCTGTGAAAATATAAGTTTTTCAGATAGTTAACGTAAATACACCGCTGTAGAGCATCACAAAAAAGCTCATTATTCAATTTCCAAGAGCGGAAATATATTTAAAATCACTTTTATTTACAAATATTTTAAGACTCATCGGAAAGCTAGCATGGCGAATCGTTGTCGCAAATTTTAAGAGATTCTAGCATATATCTGTGACAGTCAAAATGTCCCTTCTCCCAAGCGATTAGGAGAGGAGTTCTACCTTCTTTGTCAACCTTGTTAACATTTGCTCCTCGCTGAACAAGTAGTTTAACACAGTCTAAACTCCCCTTCGCCGCGGCTTTGTGAAGGGCAGTTTCGCCAGAGGAACTTGGTTTATTAATGTGCAAGGGCTTTCTATCCAAGAGATCTTTCAGCTCAGTAACAGAGTTCTGCCCCGCGGCATGAAGAATCAATGCGTATGTCGAAAATGTGACACGTCTGCAAATTTGACATGGTGTCGATTCCTTGCTCTGACCGCTTAGCTGTTCCGTCGTCCGAAGACAAGATTTCACTGGTTTTAATTCAACTCTATTCTTTTGTCGCGGAGAAACGTTGTGTTCAACTTTAATGGTCCTTCGAAGAGTTTCGTTGGTTTTGTTTCCTGTTTCTTCAATGTTACGATGTGCCAAGTTGAAGTGCTTTAGTCGTTGCAGCCAGTCGTTACGGAACAAAATACTTTCTGAACACGTCCTGCGGAGGCCTGTCGCTTCATGGCTAGCTTTATCTGTCTTCCAAAGAGATGCTACACTCTCTTTGAATCTCATAATTCTAAGCTTGTTGTCGTCGATAAATTGAGTCTTGTGTTCGCTCAGCTTTTTCATCGTACTTGGTTAACCCACTGTTCTGTTCTGTTTTAAGTTCGCCCACAAAGAAGCGGCCCACGTTTTTTCGTCAGCTTTTTATGGTTTTTGCATTCGATAGGTTCCTTTGTTCCTTCGGCAAACTATGCTTTGTTTAAAGGGCTAGCTATTCATCTTTTGTTATGAAAATCATTCTTTATTGTCTTTGTGCATTTTTAACGCACATTCTTTTCAGTACATTCACCTTAGTAAGACGTTTTTGACATGTCTTTATTGTCCGAGCTCATCCACGCGAGCCACATCAGTCATATGTGACCAATTTGGCACAGAATATATCGCAGCAAATTCTCGAGCGCGACGACGTAAACATGCTGACGTAGGCAAGGACCTTTGTGCTGATATACAGTCGTTGGCCCACGAAGAAGAAGCCTCGGGAAGAGGCGTTTCAAGGCAAGTTCACGTTCAGCACAGGGTGGATGACAAATGCGGGTGACCGCCTTTTCTCTCCCACGATCTTAACCCCTTAGGCTCCTTAGAGTGACTAGCATCTAATTTCTCCTTACAATATCACCCCTGAAACAAACATGAAAGTCACGAGAATAGAGGAGATGATCATCTATTAAAGCAGCTCTTGATTGTTAAACAAATTCTCCTTATCAGCCTTTTTGGAAATGTATGGAGAATATGCATTCTGATGTTAGGGTGTAAAGGGTTTAAGTTGATTCCCAACTGGACACCAAACGTCTGTTAGTCAGCCGTTCATAAGAATTTTAGGTTATGCTTAGAAAATGTTCACAATGTAATGATTTCGACAATTCTTCTTTACCTGTGTACTTGACTGTGTAGTAAAATTATGTGGAGAATGCAGAATCAAGTAGTCACTCTGTGGGGTCCAAATAAATTTGGTTTTCCTGGATACAGAAATGGTTCATTACTGTGTTATGAATTCATTGTTCTGTAACGTCCTACGCACAGAGAGCGGACCAGAGCCGGAAGGAAGTTGATTCGTTTACGACTCAGGGAGACCACGGTGATGTAAACACTCACGAGAGCTTTTTTGAGGGATAGATGAAAATATGAAACATGATCCCACTGAATTCTTGAAGGCTCACCAGTCAATTCATTCATGAAAAGCTGTGTCATGAGCGACCCTTTTTTTCTTAACTGAGGTCCTGATCTTCTGATTGAAACAACTTTTACGGTGAAAGAGCAATATATTTCATTTGTCTTTTTGTAAGGTAAACGATGCGAATTAAAACAGGGAAATAGCGAAATGATCCACTTGAGAACTTGCGTCAGTAACCTTTGGTCTTCCTTCTCAAATTGTCATTACGAATTATTCATTATTTACCGCCGGGGGAGGGGTGTGGATTATTTTCTTTGGGGGGGGGGATTATTTGGTTTTTAGGGGAATCGGAGGGGGGATCATTCGTCGCTAACAGAGTATAAAGGGGAGACACACGCCCCACCCCCACCCTCCTCCCCATCGGGCGATAATAAATAATGACCAGTCGTTTCGTTCTCTCAAGATTTTTCCCGAGTATTAAGATAATCCAGGTGATTGTATTGGTGATACGTCTTAGAAACGTAAAAGTTAGTTACAGAGTGCGATCTGAAACGACAAAATTACAAGATTATCATTGATTCACGAAGCAGCATTCTGAACTGATTTCTAAATGTTTTGAGTCAATTGTTTGTAACCTTCTCTCAATCACGGCCAAATGTAACTTGAAATCGAATTTCTAACATCATCACACGCGCTCTCATGGTATCGCCATTACCTGGCGTAGTAAAACAACCAACTAAGAAATGACACGAACGAGTGTGTTTCAGGTGACATCTTCTCTCATTACGTCGGCAGAAGTCATTATCGACGAAGTGTATCGTAGGTGTTTAAGAAAATGTGCGTGGGAACATTTGGCCGCATTACTTTCCTTAATCGCCAAAATAGTGAAACCGTTTTAAGCCGTTTTAAACGGGATTTCAAGTTAATTCGAAGGGTGAGAACGGGAAATTCATATCTTAGTTTGTAGAGTGGCAGTACTATTTTATGGTGATGGTCTGTTTGGAAAATTCTGCCTTTCATCTGTTGTGATGCCACTGTTAACAAGAGGCTTGTTTTGGTATCCGCTACTAATTCGAAGGTCACGTTTAGATAAAAATAAAACGATCTTATCATCTTTAAACACGATTCACGCCTAAAAATAAATCAAGTCACGATCTCAAGAAACTTTTCATATGTAGTTCTTCCTCGATTGACTTCTCTACAAATGATTAGAGGGGGAGGGGTGGGTGGTAAGTTTCTGATGAAACTGTGGTGCTGCGTTGGTGGGGGGAGGGGAGTAAAAGAAGAAAGTTTGGTTTTATCAACTTAGTTGATAATGTAAATAGGCCACCTTAGAGAGTTTCTAAAGCTGACGTTTCGAGCGTTAGCCCTTCGCCAGAGTGAATAGAGGAATTTTTGTTTGTGTGTTGTTTATAAAGAGAAAGATGGAGTTATGCTCTTGCCCGTGATAGCTCCGGCCTTCAGCAACGCACATCCCAATGGAATTCATTTCAACGAGGAAAATTTGGAATGGAAGCTAGCTTGCCACAGGGGCTGTGTTTTTAGGAGAAATATCACTAAACTAATTCTCCTGCTTAAACACAGCCCGACTGGGATTTGAGGATATTTTGTTTTAAGCAAAGCTAGCAATAACTGACAGCTGAACTCTTTCGCGGTTTAATCGTCAATGGAAGTGAAACAGGGTCGTCTTTTCTTTATGATCAGCATGGCTTTAGATCTCCAGCTTAAGGAGCTCTGAATCTAAGTGCTTGTATTTAAATATGCAGGTCAAGTTTGTCTAATGATGGTAGCTTTGTTGCAAACTTTTCAGTCATTTGAAAGTAAATGAGAGTATCAGAACTATTTATGTGTTAGTATACGAGAATAACCGTCATTAGTTGCTGAGTAATTTCCACTTGTTATATCATTCCAGTCTTTTCGAGGTGGAGACAAATTCCCTTGGCGTTTGAGGTTTGATTTCGTTGGATAAAATGCCTAAATTTTTTCACAAAAGAGACAGTTGAGGCTATTCTTTTCAATCTTATCAGCGTCAGCTTAAAAGAACAAGCATTTGACGTAAAAAAGAATGCAGATAGCGTTTTTAAATGTTGAAAAACAAAGAATAACTGATGTGGACGTGATCATATTTTCTATGGGCAGAGGGGTTGACGCAAAAGCGATTATCTGAGTTTTGTTTATAGTTTCTAAAAAGCGTTTAAATTCCTCCACACACTATCAATCATCGTCTTAGTTGCACATTTATTATTAAAATCACGATAAATGTGCTTAAGTGGGGCAGCAACTAAAAGATATTGGGATACAATTAATACGACAGATTTTAGCAAGTACCAGATGGTACAGGCCAGGAAAAGCTAGTGAAAACCACTACGGAAACTGTTTGTTGTCGAGTAACTGACAAAAGACTTATCACTTGGCGTATTCATTAGCGGACGGTGAGGTAATGAATACTTTAACAAATTAACAGTTCTTTAAAAGTTCTCACCTTGCCTCTTTCAGAAACCATAAAATGACGTATTCCTTTTCTACAGCTTTGTCTTCAATTAAACCAATCAAATGAGTTCTCAAAAAATTCACGTGTGAATTTTTTAGGCAAAGATAGGAAACAGAAGGAACTTGTGGAGGTCAGCGCTAAAAATATTCAGTTATGCCCTTGTCTAGGAAGCTTAGCAGATCAGAAATGTCTCTACTTTTCAAGCCCGAAACTGAAAGAAGATCTTACGACAGGCCAAAAGTGGAGCAAGACTTGGCTAGCAGCAAACGTTCACCGAGCAGATCGGATCCACCGACAATTTACATCGAAGATGAACCTGTAACAGACGGTGCTGTAAACGGATTGCCGAGAATTCACCGAGCGGTTTCCGATGGAAATTTGGACTGGCTAAAAGAACTAGTCGAGAATGGAGAAGAGGACGTAAACACGCCAGATCAACAAGGATGGCCTCCGCTGTATACTGCCATTAAGAAGGGAAAACTCGATTGTGCAGCGTACCTGTTGAAGAAGGGCGCCAAAGATTTTTACGACAAACAACATGCCGAGTACCAAAAAAGATTGGTTGCCGTTTCGAATGACCTTTCAAGGAACAAGGCCAACTCTTTTACATAGCGACTGAATGGAGATAAACGTTGTGGTTTATTGCTCCTGGTTATAAAAAGTATGCATCTTTTGGTCCAGTTTTAAAGAGACAGCTGTAAGTTAATATATAAAGTCGGATTCGAGGACCGAGTTGGTTGAATCTATCGCTAGGTAATTTACTATGTATCAGGGTAATTTCCCAGAACAGTTGAAAACTCTCGAATCGTTTTTTCTGAGATTGAAATATTGCTTTAATACTTTAATACTTTCTGGTGTCTATATTGCTGTTATTTCTGGATGCATTGTTTACTGTTGAACTGTCAATGAGGCTTTCATGGTTAAATTACCCTTTTATTGTTTCTGTTGTAGAACCAAGTTCTGCAACAACAGCCGCAAAACCCATCGCACAAATTTCATGTTAGCTGTGAATTTACAGCAGGTAAACTTCACAAAAATGGATTACCCAGAGCAGGTGGCAAACATTGCAAAACGTGTTTCAAAGATAGTGGGCGAACGCACTTTATTAGACTATCTCTATAAAGAATGACCACAACTAGAATTGCTAAACGAAAGCTTTTTTTACAATTTGTTGAGTAACGCCAATTTACAGCTCCAGCTTTTTTGTATGATAAGTTGCTGACTGTTATGTATCACTTTTACATTTAATTCTTAAGGTTATTTACAACCAAATGCAAACAGAATAACATTTATGTGTACGAGAACACGAACTGTCGGTTTCTCTGATGATCGCTATTGTTAAGTCAGTTGATACCTAAGCTGCATATTCCCTTGAGTGTGCTAAAGTAATTAAGCCAGCCTCTATATCACAGCAGATTTTGGATAATGAGACACAGTGTGTTGACCATGTACCGTTGTATGTAAATACATTAATGAAAGTGGCACGTTTCTTCCGCACTGTGTATACTAATTAAGAAGTAAGCGATAATGACTCA